TTAGGTCTACGTGAGATACAAAATCTAGTCAGCGCTTCGTAACAATAAAATGACAACAGATATTAAATCAAATCTTTTTTTTTTATTATTTCAATTCAAGTAAAATTCAAGGAAAGTATTGTAATTTTATAAACTTAGCTAATCTAAAAATATTTGTAAAATTACAAAACCGTTTTGTAAAATTAGTAACCTCACTGAGCTATATATGTTTTGTAATTTTACTATACCCGATTGTAATTTTAAATAAATGTTTTGCCTATTAGCTTCCAATACATTTCTTGTAAAATTACAATAGAAATTTTTAACAGTGTAGTTTTTATTCAGTAAAACATTTTTTTGAATATATTTTAACTGCAATAAGTTTCGGAAAAATCAGTAGATTTTGACGTGATTGATGACAATCGACAGGGTATTTTAAAAATAATATAAAACCTATCAGAAAAAAACGATTCAACTATTAATTCAAAAATTATAAGAAAAAAAAAAACACTTTTCTGCCAAAAACAGATGATGCTTTACTTTTGCATAGTTAGGGTTTGTATATATAGACAATTTTTTTGAGTCTTATATTATCAATTACCTCCATAAGTAGCTGGTTGTGCTGGTGCGGGAACAAATCCAGTTGGTGGATGAGGGGCCACTGGATATGCTATAACATAATAATTAAAACAATGTAATTTCTTAATTTTATAAAGTTTCGCCGAATCTCGGCCTAAGCCACAGGTACACAGTACCACCATTTATAAATGATAACGCGATTTCTGAATCTTGAAAATACGTTCTTTTTTTTTAATTACATTTAGATAAACTATTTCTCATATAATTTAAGTATATAAAAATTTCTTTTTTGCACATAATAAAATAATTTCAAGAAACAGAATTCGCTTTACCTGTATGCCGTATTTTTTCAATCGATAAATTCTTTTTAAATTAAATACGAAAGTAACATTTCGTTAAAATATAATTTTAAAATTATCGATGAAAAAAAAACGACAGCATAAGAGGTACTCCCAAACCCACGTATATCTTACACATGACATACACCGTTTTTGATCAAGATACTAATTAAAGCTCAAACAATGTTAGTCACTAAATGATTGTGGGAAAAAATTGGTATTAACCGAAAAAACCATACCTCACCCTTTTGTCACCGCTCGAGTTTATAACAACTACATGTACAGTAATATGGTACATTTCAGATAAAAATATTTATTTTTATACTATTAATAATAAATGTCTAGTTACATTAAGAAAACATTTTTGTGTATAGTTCGTAAACAGAGCGGACGCAAAAGGAAGTAATTAGAGATAATAAAATTTAAATGCCTTTGGAAAGCCATAATAAATGATTAATACTTATTAACATTTATAATTAAAATTCCAAAGACAAATAAAAATAATTTCGGTGCGAGTTAAACTAGAGAATAGTGTTTCGAGCAGTCTAAGTACTAAAATTGATGCTTATTGTATAAATAAAAAAAATGAATGTTTTTGAAGTGAATTTACTGGTGATAAATATATAAAAACGGGATTATTTTGCTGTATAGAAAACAATCATGAAACATAGAAAATGTTCTTATTTATAGTTAATGAAGCTCTTGTTACTCTATTCCCAGTTGGTAAAACTCACATAAGAAACCTACCTTCCAAAATTATTTCTAAAACTAATTTAATAAAATACGAAACCAATGGTTGAAGCAAATAGCGTTATGCAATCAAGTTACTAGCCAAAATACATTCGTCTAATTTTATCGGATCCAAGAGTTTCAAGTATCTATAGTTTTACTCATCAATTATAATAGCATGAAAATATAAAAATCGCTGATAAAACTTTATTGTTTTATTGTAAACTTGCAAAAAAATTTTTTACCAACTCAAGGACCCGATACAAGTTTAAAATTTCAGAAAAAAAGATACAAAAAAAAGAATTAAATAAAGGTCATAAATTAGAAAAGTTTTTTTTTGTTTTTTCATTAAAGAAGAATGATGTTATATATTAAAAATTATAGATAGAGCTCATATATTAATGTTTTTTTTTTTTGTAGTTTACATGTACGTTATTTAAAAATCATAAGAAATTAGATAAATTGCCAAAAACTTTTTTATTTTTTATTCTTGACGTAAATTGATTTTGAATTGTTTTTTTAAATTATCAGAGCTAGGAAAACACTAAAAATGTCATTAAGATTTTCTTCTACTGTTTCATTACAGAAAATATCAGTAAATCTTGTTTTGAAGGAAAAAATTGTTAACAACAGCTATGTAAACTTTTAAAAAACACTGACTTTTGAGCTTTAATAATATAATGCAAATATTATTTAGAATTTGAATTAAAGTAATTGAAAATTGATTGAAGACAACCTTACAAAATATATAACTAAAAATAAATATGTTTCCATCTTTCTTCATTTTTAATAATATATAGATTTACCGATGAATCGTGTTCGAGCGGTGAAAAATGTGTAATTTATACAATGAGTACGAGTAGTACAGTAAATATACATATACATATATAATATGTACATATATATGTATAATATACTTATATATAAATATATTTAAATTTCATACATTCAAAAAGTTATTACAAGATCCAGCAAACCACAAATTTCTGCAAATATTTAATGAATAATAGTCAAACATCGAAAAGTTATAATTTTTTCTTTCTGATAATTGCACAATTTAATATTAAATTGAGTTGGACTATTTTGTATTAATTGGTTTGAAAAAAATAACTGTTGAGTATACGTAGTGTATTTATTAAATTTTATTACTATAGTTTACTGATAATTGATTTATTCTGTTACTTATTTCATACCGATCGACACAAAACTTCCAACTGTTACTATTTTTAATGTCTTAATCACATACCAAGCTTTAGCGCTAAAAC